ACTCATATGAATTTAAATAATTCCTTATATTTGAATTAATTAACTTTCCTATTTCCTGTGTAAAGTGGAGCAGCATTAATTACCTATATTCTACAGACTAAGTGAGATAGGCAGAGAGGAGCTCTGTGGTGCAGGAGGCAGCTAAAAGAGAAGCTGAACAAGATGGATATAAAATTTCCAGTGAGAGCAGTGGGTGTTATTTAAATCACATGCTGCTGAGGGTCTCCTGACGCCACTCATGAGATTAAAGACACAATGTTAAAGAACAGCACTAGGGACCAACTAGCAATATTCTAAGTAATTCTGAGTATAACCAACCAGACAACATGCTTCCACCACTATCAAGCCCCACTATGAGACCTGCTGTAAACCAGAAAAGTCAGACTGCCACAAATGATCATATTAACTTTCTTTTCTCTTTCATTTTTCAAAGGACAGCAAGGTTTCCAGAATAATCTTCTACACACATGTGCTCTTTTTCTCAATTCAAGTCCAGGATTGTAAAATGAAAGTCGAGATCCTCACAGTTACATAGTATCTTGGACTAGTACCTTAAGACAGAGCAAATATACAATAAATGAAGATTCACAATGGCAACAATAACACTCTAGAGGTGTCAATAAGCCATACCTCATGGGTAGCTACATGCCAGTCAACTGGTCAAAAACACTAGCTAAGAAATGTTAAAGGCAATCTCCAGTCTGCATAAAGCAGGCTTTACACTCCTAGTGCGCTTACTGAGTATGCTTCCATGCACCACCACCATTCTTTTCATGCCCTTTCTGGGTTTACAGGCTCATTGTTTATAGAGAATGGTGAAAGAACAGGTCACGAACCTTCATTTTCATCTGGATTTTAACTCCTGGAACACAAAATGCAACAGTCATACACATTTAAATGCACAACAACCAGTATGAGGGGAAAACTCCTAGAGGAGAAATTGAAATTCTCTTATTTTGACTCTTTACTGCCTCCACTTTCTACCTCACTAAGACAGAAAACATGAGTATTATTTCTTAGCATTCTACTTTTGGGGTGCACTCACTTTGCACAGAACAAAAGAAAAGTGAACAGGATCTTCATAGCTTGTAAAGAGATAAGTATGCGACACTATTGTACATAACCCACAGCAGGAAACATTTGCAGACTTCAAAGACTAATTGATGTTTTGTTTCCTAACAAAATGGCATAGAGATTCCAGCTTTCTTAGATGTGCTTCTGCTACACATTACCCTGGAGGAGCTCATTCAGTCCTATCCTATCCCAAAAGTCTGAAAACCTGCCTTGCAATGATACTTCTTCGACAGAGTCAATTTAGAGCTTAAAAACTCTCTTACTCTAAATGATTTGCTCATGGGAGGAAAGCATAATTCCAGGTAGTTAATATATCACTTCCCTTCAATTCTCTACAGTAGCTATTAGCCAGCAGTACAGACCACACCCCATGTTCCAAGATTCTTATATCCAAAACTAAATCTGAATCAGCAAGTCTATACAACACCTGGAATGACAACAATGGGTGCACAGTATATAAAAATAATTTATTGATATGTAGTTGAAAAAATGTTTTCTGTATATTTAATAGAAATTACATTTTCAGTAAAAAAATATAAATTAAATAAACATTTCCAATTACATACACAGGAAGAAAGACAATGAAAGAGCCCAGTCTTCCATTTATGAATTAAGGCATCTGGAACAATGCTCGTACAAACCTACTAATTTCTTCTCTGTTAATTCCACATGGTTTTCCCATAAGCATACCTCGTTTTCTGTAACCAATTTTGATTTGCATAAATTCTTCCCAGAAAGTGAACAATTACCTAACCTAATGATTTCTCCATTAATGGACATTTTGGCAACAACAGATAATGGAGAAATCCTCAATTAGTTTCAGGAGAATTCTGAGTAGCATAAACAAGCATTACATCAGTAAGAGCCTCAGTAAGCTTCCTTTAAATGCAGGGCATTCATTGTGCTGAGGGAATATGACTGATCTAGGTATTCTGAGAAGATAAAAGTGTAGCCAAAATGGTTTTTTGCTTTTGCAAGAGATGGCCATATCTGAGGTCCTGATACTCAAAGATGAACTAAATGGATGAACTATCTGCTCTTTAGATACTAATAGGCCCTCTTCAGCTGCAGCTCTAGGCTCTGTCTCTCTACCTTCTGCATTGACTGAGCTGCAGTCCAAGATCCTAAAACACAGCCCAAATGAACAAGAGGACACAACTCCTTTTGCAGCCCCTTCTCAGCCCCACTCCACCTACTGTAGCTGTGGGCTCTGTCTCCCTCCCAACCTAATGCTACCCCAGCCCAATGCACCACAACCAAATCATACTCCCTCAAAAGTCCAAACCACCATCTTCTCTTGAATTTTAATACCTTTATCAGGGAATGTTCTTCAAAAATCAGTCTGTCATCAGTGACATAGTCTTTATTACTAATGCAGCTTTTTTCATTAAGGCACAAGAACCCAAAGTGGAAGCTAGCCCCTCAGTCACTGAAACACAGACTACACAGCAGCAGTTCCACTGCAGTGCTGCCTTTGAATATCACCCTTGACTGAGAAGTTGCTTACTAATGTGATTTCCCTCGAAGCACAGTGTGAAGTTAAGAGTGAGGAAAAGGAAAAAGGAAAAGAATGGGTACTTTTCAAGGCAAAGGATCATAGTTTAGCATCTGAAATGCATTAGAGATTGACCACAAAAGGATTATTTAAGTTTTGTCTTTTTAGCAGTTGAATTAGCAAGAAAACATTCAGGAATCATGCTTACAGAAGGTGACATACTGGAGTTTGCGCATCCTTAAAAAATAATCAAAAAAGACAGGCACTTGGGTGTTATGAATCCTAGCCTGCTTTAGGATTTGTGCAACCTCCATTTTTTGAGCAGTAAAATGTAAATAATAATCCTACCTTTTCTGGCAGTAGGACTATGAAGCTTAATTCATTTAAATTCTCTGAAAGTCTTCTGAGCTCCTTGTATTGAAACTATTATTTAATTACATATTTTTATTATTCTGAAGGAGAAGCTGTAACAAAACAAAATCTTATTTCTTTTATTGCTTATTGCATTTTTGCATCCAACCCCACAATAAGAGCACTAGTCCATCTGTCCCTGTTCTGATAAGGATTTACAATACCACAACTCTGTTACAAGAGAAAAGCATCAGGATTTTAACAGCACTTTTAAATTACTCATATTAACGTTCTTTTCCTGAGTTCCACGTACATTTTAAACTCGATTTTTTTTATCCATTAAAATACATTCAAGTCTCACTGGCTGTCTTATTTAGTGAATTAGAGTGGCTTTCAGCTCTGTTTTTATGGACATAGAAGCACAAATGAATGAAACACATTGCTTTGATTTGTCCGTCTACAAACAAGCCCAAAATTGGTGTTGCTAGTTCTGAGCCAATACTGCACTGTTCTTTACTTCAATGTCATCTACTTCTGAATAAAACTGCATGGATAAGAAAAAGAAAACACAAAAGTGATGCTGCAGACTTAAGTAATACTGGCTAGAGCCTAAACCAGAAGTCCTCTTTTAGCTTTTCAGAGTTTAAGAACTCCAGGTTGAAATAGCTTCCACTCAGAGCTTTCATGTACTACTGACAAACTCAGTAATGCTTCCCTTGATTATAAATGCTGGGAGAAAGAGTCATGTAGTCCTGAATTAGCACAACTATTAACAGTGTTTTTCCCTGAGTTGCTATCACAGTGCAGATCATGGGGGTCAAATGCAATACACTGAGTATGAATCTGACCCACAAACTAAAAGAAACACAACAGGCAAATTCTTGCTCCATTGTGATCCCCCATCTGGTTGGAGAAAAACTTAAAAGGTTCCAATTGGTCCTAAAAGGCTAGAAATTATAGAAAAAAAGCACTCTTCTCTAGTGCTAGAAGACAGCACTAGAGAAAAGGTTTGTAAGATTACTCTCCCTGATCTACAGGTTCTGTCATACTCAGTTCTGAGCAGGAGTGGGCTACAGGCTGCATGGAAGGTCATAACAAGGTATGCAACACAGAGAACCATGAGGAATAACTAAAGTCATTTCACATGGTCCACAAGTGTCTAAGACAAAACAAAGGATTTTTTCCTCCTGACTCTCAACAGCTGAGGATCTCAAATTCACCACAGTTGAAAGCCACAGTATCCAGAGTCCTGCACAACTTTTTTTTCTTCTATAAAATTGCATAGAGTCTTTAAAACAGCTTTGTGCAACCTGCAACCTGCAGAGGCTCTGAGAAACCAGAGAGACCAGAAAGACCCTCTGCATTGCAATAGCAAACCTGCATATTACCAAACCAAGGAAAGCAAGCCAATATAACTTTCTGCTAAACTGACACACTCCTTTCAGATCATTTCATATGCAATTTTGAACTTTGAGGGATAATTAGCACTAGTAAACATGCTTTTTCCCTCAGAAAGAAGGTTTCAGGCTCATTTTAAAAAAGGCTTCTTATATACAGGATATTCTGACACAATGGGTAGAGACTAGCTCCTGTTTCCTTCACAAGGCTTAAAGAACAGGATGTAGCACATTGTCAAAGGTACCTGCTTGTCTCAGTCAATGCACAGCCAAGCCCTGGAAACCATCTAACATTATATGCTCAATGCCAAGGATTGTTTGAAAACCGAACCCTTTAAAATATCAGTTTTCTTAGTCTAAATTGGATACAGTACCCTCATAATAACCTCCTTCTGACACACTGCACTTCCTTCTCAGGATTCAGAATTGCCACTTAGAATCAACCAAATGAACAAAACGTTTCTATTATTTATGTTGATTTTTTCACGGATGGCAAAGGATTCATCATCATCACCCTTTATCATCACCTGCTCTGCCTACTGCCTGTGAGAGACCCAGCTGTAGCTCAGGGCCAAGCAGTGAAAGGCAACTCCCCTACACCAAGTTTGCTTGTCCTATCAATTCTTTAGAAAGCAGCATGTTGGCATAAGGAAATGAAAAGCAAAGAAAATAAATTAAACTACCTTGCCATGTAGTTCGTGAACATCGTATCTTATCTGAGCAAATTCACGGAGTCCAAAAGATCCTCCAATGAGATAGAGCTGAAAACAGAATGAAAACAGATGTGTTAGGACTACTACAGAAAAGAACGCTTTGCACACCTACAAAAAATACTGTGCATACTGACCCAATTCATGTACCAAGAGACTATACTATTTTTCCAACAGAAACACCAGGAGCTGAAGAAAATAATACTTTAGAAAATAAGTATGGGTGCCTTCTTCCACTCTCTGAGCCTGGATTTCACACATTTCCTCCTTCTTACAAAGACAGCTGCTACATGACTCAGACTTCCCAGGGACTTCCTCTCCTCTTACCCCTTCTTTTCCCTCCCCATGTGGTTTCCTGACATAATGGCAGCAAAGGAACCTTTACCTCACTGCCACAGGTTTTATCCTCATAAATTTTCAAACTCTATGGAGAAGTAGCAGTGCCACGCTGACTTACTGTGATGTCTGTGGGTAACAGATCTAATTAAGCTTCTGAACAGACCATGACTGTAGCTATAGTTCAATAACATATTATCACCCAGGCTAAGAAATCACATCCAGCACACCTATCCTTTTATTACTCCTTAGTTATCCTGCAATTTCCTCCATGCCTATGAAGCTTAAGAATAATAAAGGGAGAAAGGGAAGGACTTCATATCCACACAAGAAATCATTATATTATTCTTTCTTATGAGAGAGTGCTATCACAAAACTGTGTATGTATTTTTACCATTAGAAATGGATAGACCATCCAAAGATGAAGTATTGTTTAAAAAGAGCCTTGAAAATTAGCTTAGAAATCTAGCTACTTTGTGTAAGAGTCAGGTCCCTTGCTACTGCTCTGACCTCACAGTGTCTGCTGTTCTCTGTTAAAGCAGATGCATAGGAGGCCAAAAGGCTTCACATCTAGAGACACACATCTAAGCAAGTTGGAAGGATGAGGAAGTTCTAAGGACCTGAGTCAAGGTAGGAAAAAAATCCAAACAAAACCCACCACCACTACCCTCTTTCATCATGCAACTTTGCTGTTACAGTCCTTCATTACAGGCTGTAGCTGAACTGCTGTTTTCTACGCACTGCTGGCTGAATTCTTACTACATATTAGGTTTGCAGCAATGGCCAGTGTCCAAGAATTGTTGTAATTATGCTGTGCAGGTTAGTCACCATGCATGTTCATTCTGGAAAGTGGAAGTTCATGTCACTGTGGCCACAAAGAATTAGAAATTGGAAACAAAAACCTACCTTCTACGCTTAGTCATTCTCAAAGTTGCAGGACTGCATTACTTCCCACCAAGCAGGTAAAATTACTCAGAACCACATGAACACTCTCTCCACGCACACACTTCAACACTGCTAAGGTACAGACTGGTACCCCAGAACTGATGGACTCTAACCAAAGAAGAAGAAACTCTTCATCAACAGCCAGGAGTTAAAGGCTCCAGAGCCTCTTTCTGGCCCTTTCAAAAAGCCTAAAAATCCAGCTGATAATAAAAACAGACACAAATTTTGCAATATGAACACCCAGTTGCTAGGCCACTAGACCACTAGTGTCAGAAAGCCAATCAGAAAATCGTCATATGGTATCAAGTCCAGCAACTAGAAATATGAATGACCAAAAACTGGATGGCATCATACTTGTTCCATAAATGTTTCAAGGGATTAATGATCTGGCAGATATTGAATCATCAAAATACTCAGTAGGACAAAAAAAAAAAAAAAAAAAAAAAAAAGAAAGGTCTTCCTTGTGTCAGTATTTTGGTAAGAAAAAAATAACAGAAAGCAGGAAATAAAGTGTTCCAAATGGTTAAAAAGAACTTGGACATTATTCAAGATTTATTCAATCAAATCAGAAGATTTGTCAGATGAAGATATGGTAGCACATAATGCTAAAAATCTCAAGGATCAGACTGTAATTGAATTTTAACATGGTTGATGTCTCAGCATAAATTTTCATTAGCTGATCTTCTTTAATTCCTAACAAGTATTATGTTAATTTACAGCCACTGTGTTAATAAACTTTAAGTCCTAATAAACACAAATCTGAAATGCTATAGACAAGTTTATGGCTATTACAAACCAGAGCTCATTGCCTTTTTTTCGTATTAGCATGTGTCAAAGAATGTCTACGGCAAGGCAAAAGCAACTGCACTAGAAATGGTTCAGTTATTAAACCAGGCAGAAAGCAGCAATCACATATGACATCAATTAAAAATTAATCTGCTCAAAAATAAACGTGCATGGAATATATCCTGTTATGAGATGCAATATGAACAATTGGAAGACTTTGGCTTACAAAGCCATGCTGTAAACTAAAGAGGAAGTATTACATTCTTTAGTTTGAAAACTCTGTAATGTACACTGCAACTACGAAAAATCAACTTTTTGCAAGGTTGTTGTATGAAGTAAGTCACATGCTACTCACTTTGCCTCATCACATCCTGTCGCTTGTTTGACAGCAACCATCCACGACACAGTGCATTTTATATTTGCAGCTACACACAGTAGAGAAGTTGATGCACACACCTCTCACTTCCTGTTTTGGAATTCAGGTTTTGGCCTGACACTGCAGTTTTACTCACAACACCTTGGTACTACTAAGAGGAAAAAACCCACTTGGTTTGTGATGTACCTTCGCTCTTCATACAGCAGAAGCAGCGTACCAAGTTGGCACATTTAGCTTATCAGGCATTACCAGTACGGTTGCCTTTACATTTCCAGTACTGCAACGGCTGATTTATCTTACCATGAAACATCAGTTAAGCACCATCAGAGACAAAGCACATTGATGCTGTAAGAAAGTACAAATGCTGCTGAAATATTACACAGCGTAAGGCTGGAAGGTTAGGACTAAGATTAAATAGTTTTGCAAAGTACAGGATACACACAAAGAATCTAAATAATATGTTTACAAGCCCACTTGACCAATGTTCTAAAGAACCAAAGAAGATGTCTGACTTTACTGCAAAAGCAGATCAGAATCAGTCATATTCAGCACTTATTTAATCAACCAACAGCATATCAATATAGTCAGCTGACAGCCCTGAGCATGAATTGCATTCATCTACACAAGCCAGAGCAGCTATGGACAGCTATTCAGTCAATTATCTTTTTGAAAACTGTGTTCAAAAGCCAATAAAAGAAGGTATAAATGAATTTATGCAACTGTAATACTATTAAAGGTAGCAAAGGACTCAGTGACTGACAATGCATGGAGTAAAACTATGAGTCTTGGCTTTAACTGTTTCCTTTCTCTTCTGGTGCACTGTGAGGGAAGATGCCCTCACTACCTTAATTTCAGCTGGCTGTATTTACACACAACAGTGAACCAGTGAGAATCACCAGTCAAAATAATTAGAAGCAGGATAAGACTCCAAATTTCCAGCACCATTATTGTTGGCTTTGCATATTCTGTATGTCTCACATACTTTTCTAATTGCCCAAACTGTGAAACAAAGATAATCCCTACATTCTTTGCAAAACACTCTTCAGTTAAAAAAGCACTAACAATGTACAAATTTGCCCAATGTAACCCAAAAGCAACAGTGAAATCCAGTATGTTCCATCCACTAGTCCGGGCATAAAAAGACAGTAGAAGCTATTCAGGATGCAATATAAATATAAGTTATGTTGGCACCATTCTAATGAAGTCAGGATCAAGTTCACTCTCCTGTTAACTGAAGAGAGAAAAGTAATATCACATATAATAAAAATTAATTTTTTTTCATTACAATTTTAAAATCATACAGATACTTAATGTACATTATAAAATATCAAGGCACTGGCATCTGAAGGATACTTAAGCTGCAAAGTCCATAAATACCTGCATTCTTCTATTGTGAGGGAACTATTCATTTTACTTGCTTCACAATGCAGAGAAAAAAAAACATTACGTAGTGAACATCATCTGTCTCGTTACTTGAATGCTCTCAGCAGACTGATGAAATGATAGTAACATCTCATTTTTTCCTTTACACCTCAAGTTTAACTTAGGGAGGCAAAGGTCATTAACCATTACTAGTTAGCCAGCATTTAACACCAAAGCAAACCGCTTAATAGCACTGCTAGCACAGCCCCCATGAAAGATCCCACACTGGATTATTCCTTTATGTTTCAGTGAGTACACAAAAAACTCCCTACAATGTTGTAATGCAATTATGCATGCATGGAAGACTTGCATGTTCCAAAACAAAATGAAAGATAGGATGTGACATAAGAGCACCATCTGTCACATACACTCAGCAACCTCAATAAACATTTTATGCAAAAAAATGACATAAAATTCTCTTTAATAACATTCTTTTAAAAATTCTATTTGTTCATGTCTCCATTGGAAAGCATGTTATGCAATCAGTTATAGATGGTACCAGATCCCCTGAACTACATCTTAGGATGGGAAATACTTGTACTTGTCACCAACTACAGTGGGTGGTCATTGAGGGCTCATAACAGCAGAACTTAGGACTTACAACAGATCCCTTTTTTAGTTTCCTGCATAATCTAAAGTAACCAACTTCACTTCACCGGGTTAACAAAACAGTAAGAAACTGCTTCTCTGGCAGTACCAGCAAAATGCCATGTTATAGGCATCCCTGTTGTTAGAGAAAGCCATTCCTACTACAGTATCAGTCATGAAAGACAATTACAAAGTCATAAATCCCTAAATTAACCAAATCACCACGTTTAGTGCTGCCAACACAAACCATGCGGTGCTAGAAAATGTTATTATACAAAGAAGGAACATGGTAATTTTCTAACCTCTTCTTTAAGACTGCTGCTACAGAACCCTCCAGCTATTCATCAGGAGCTTCAAAACTAGAGCAGTAGTGAATTAATTTAGTTTAGTTTGCAGTGATCACAGCAAAGAGAGTTTTGGGGGTTCCTTTTTAAAGAACTGTCAGATGTGCAGTGCAAGACTGGTGAAAGATGGCAATTTGGCAGTCCAGAAGACTGAAGTCTCTTTTCTTTTGCCCAAATAAAGTAGCAGGGCAAATTGCCAATCCCAGAAAAGACCAGGCAAGTCATCTTAACCTGAAGCGCCCCCCTCTGCCAGC